CACATGACATATATATTAATAGCTTGTGGAACAAGTTTATTGAGTGGCATACATATAGATAACTTATCTTGCTAGTTAAGTCATGTGTTTAACAAAGTCAACATATATCGGAGGTCTTATAGACCATTGCCATATAGCTCCTAGTTAGAGAATATATATGGAGACAAAAGTAAAGCCTTCTTCACTCTTGTCAATGCTTTTTTAGTCTTTAGTCTTGTTTTAAGACTTTCTAGTCTTCTTGTCTTTAGCAATAACCATTCTAGTTCAATATACTACAATCTTTGAATGATTTTCTAGTCTAATTGAGTGATACAAGAGTGTATTGAGATTCTTTTTCTTTAAAATTCATATTCTTGATAGTTTTCTTATTAATGCTAGAAAAAAAAACTTTGAAGATTATTCATTATTAATCTTTAATATTTAAGAAAAAAAACCTAAAATCTTAATGTAGATTTAAATATTTTTTAAATCAATATATTATTTTAAAATCAAAATTTTCAATCAAATTGATTAAAATAAAATTTAAATGTTTCTTTAATAATAATAGATTTTATAAAATATAAATCAATCCATTTTAATTTTAAAAAATTCAATCATAAAAATAGAATTATAAAAATTTAAGATTAAAATATCTCTAATAACATCTATTAAGAAAAATGACCAATATTTTTTGAAATAAATAAGATTTAAAGAAGTCTATAGAATCAATAATATATAATTTTTACTTAGTATTTAAATAAAACCTTTGACAAAACATTTCAATCTATGTTACTAAATTTATTTTAAAATAAACTCCAAGATTTTGTTATATCCTAAAAGCATTATTGTTAAAAATTCATATTATGCCTAAAGTACATATAATTGTGCTTGACATTTTAGAATGTAAAAAAATCCTTTAAAATAAATAAGATTGTTTTAGAAATTAAATTTATAAAAGTTATTATAAAGATTATTTTTAATATAAAGTACAAGAATTTTGTTAATTTATTTTATAAATATTTATCAAAAAAATTATATCAGCTAAAATTATTGATTAATTAGATTGAAGATGCAATTACTTTGATTTAAAAAAAAATAGTTAATCATATGTTTTTTATTTTTTTATATAAAATTAGAATATCTAAATAAGATATTTGACAAGTATTATAGTTTTTGAAAATAATATATAATATTAATTACAAATTTTGACAAAGACACATTATGATGGATTTGGTGACAAATTAAGATAAGTGCTCACATAAAATATTCAATATTCTTGGAATGGATATCATTTATAATTAGAAAAAAGATCTTCAAAATATTGATATAATTTTTAAAATATATTTACAATAATAATAAGTTCTTTGTCATAGATCTTATAATTAATATTACCTCTCAAAAAAAATTGAATAAAAATAATTACTATAAAGTAGATTGTATTGATTTATTTGTAAAAAAATTATACATAATGCTAAATCTAATAATCTGTTTTTATAAAAAAAAATAACTTGGAAAAAAAAAGTAAAATATGAAATATGACCTTATACAAAAGTTAATTTTTTATGCTTAGATTTTACTCTCATATTTTTACTCCAATTTTTATTTTTATTTTTATTTTTTTTCCATATATTTAAGAAGCCATGCAAGATAAAACAAAAAATGAACATGAATAGAAGATAGCAATAGATGACAAAATGGATTTTTTTTTTTTTTTTATAAAAAATATCATGAGATATAGTATAATTACTTGAAAAAAACCAAAACTTAAAATTTAGAACTTGTTATGAATGGATAAGCTATATAAATTTTTAAACAAGTATAAACTTTCTAACGTTGATGGAACAAGATATAAGAGCTCATTAGTAATAATGTAATATGCTAAAATATAAAGTTTTAATCTTAAAAAAATATACTCTCTTATAGTAAATATTATTTCTAATTTTTATTTTTGATAACAATTCTATAATATGATTTTGAATTGGAGAAATTTTATCTTATTATTATTTTTTTATACAAAGCATTAGTAAAAGATATTTTTATATATGATATCAAAGGCTTTAAAAAACTTTAAAAAGAAAATCTTGTATATAATAATTTATTTTATTTTAAATCATTGCAATATTTGAAGAAAAGTTGATATAAGAGGACATAAATATGGATGTTTTATATGATAAAGTAAGAGTATACTATAGTAAGTTTACATTTTTTTTATGTTTCAAATAACAAAAAAATAAACTAGCTTAAATAACTATGTTCTAATTAAAATTTATAATAATGACATGTTGGTTGCAAAAAAAATTTTAAAATAAAAAAATTTAATAAAAAAAATTATTAAAAAAGATTAATAATACAACAAAGTAAAGAGTTTAATGTATTATTTCTAATCTTCCTAAGTAGATTGTAGATATAAATAATCATAGAGATTAAAAGAAACTTAGACTTTTAATATGACTAATAGATTATATTAAAAAATTATTGATGTATTTTGGTGTAGAAAAATTAAAATAAATTTTTAATATTTTAATATTCTATTTCAAATTATCTCTATTATAATCTTCTTGCAATATATATAAAAGGAAAAAAAAATCTAATATTCTATTGTAAAGTCAATAAACAGCTTACATGTAATAGTACATATTAGACTAAGTATCTTATATACTTAGTCTAATATATTGTAAATATTATTAGTATATATATAAAAAATACACAAAAGAAATATTAAAAAATAATAAAGTAGATACTTTATTACTTGAAAATTATAATAAATATTTGCATATCATTTGATATGAGATATAAAATAATAAAAAAAAAAAAATCACAAGATTTTTTAATATTAATTTATTTAGAATTTTGTACAAGAAAAAGATCTAGTATATATATTTTTTAGAATAGTTGGTAGTAGTTTAAACATAAGACTATTGTACAGTCAAATTCAATTCTTCAAATAATTCATGCAAAACATATGGTTATTTTTAAAAAAACCAAAAAAATAGTTTGGATAAGAATACTTACTAATAAATTTACTTTGATGCATAATCAAACTTTATAATCTTATATTAATTAAAGATATATATATATATATATATATACATATATATATTACAAAGAAATAGATATATTATTTAATTATAAAGCACATAGACATTACACATCATTACATTTAAATTTTCATTATTGATGCTAAAATTTACTTAAAAAATAAAAAATAGTGAATCCAATATATATATATTTAAAAGTCTAATAATAGATAAGAAATTTAAGTTATATTTGAGCTTATTAAAGATGAAAGTTTTTTAATTTGATATTACTATTAAATATTTTACAAAATTATTAAATTTTCTTGTATCATTAATTATTTATTTTAAACAAATATAATTATAATATAAAAATATAATTCAAACCAAATAAAATCCAATTTATAGTCTTTTAATTATTATGTTAGTATAAAATAATAAAAAGGGTCATGCTTTAATTTCGTATTCAAATTAAAAAGGTTAGTAGAGAACAAATTTTAAAACCATTTAGATTTTGTAATTTTTTAATACATAGTTAGTAATGTTAGTTGCAGTTGAAAATAGAATTCATGACAACTATCACTTTTGTTTCCTTTTTTACATTTATATCATAACACTCTTAAAGTTGTACAAATTATATTAGAAACAGACCAAATTATGAAATTTATTATCTTTCCATATAATAAATAGAAGTAACAAATAATAGAATAATAAAAAAACAAATCAATTTAAGAAAAATGATCCTATAGTTTTTCAGTTATTTAAATTATTTCAACAAAAAGCAATAGTCAATTTTTTTCAGAAAGTTTCTTTTAACAAGATAGAAAACCATTTTTAGCAAAAATATGTGAAATTTTATATTTTGTAAGTTTTCAAGATGAATCACTTAGGTTGTCACAACCATTAGGTTGTTAAAGTTAAAGTACTTGATGCCATCTAATCAAATAGAAGTTATAATGTTAATATAGAATAACATGTATAAAGTTATTAAGTACTTTATACATAATATACCATTTTATTTTTTAAAACTTTAATACATATATATATACTTTAATTAAAATAATTAAAAAATATTATATGTTTATTTTATAATTATTATAAGAATAAAATTCTATTCTAAAATTTTAAAAATTAAATTTAATGTAAGTGTTTTATGATATATAAATATATAAATATTTCAAATTTATATAAAAAATCATAGTATAGATTTATTTCTATTATTTCCAAAATAATTTATCATAATATCATTTTAACAAAATATTAAAAAAATTTGTAAAAAAATATATCTTTTCTAATATGTATATATGAAATTAAATAGAAATCAAACCTACCAATTAATAAAAAATACACTTCTCTATCTTAAATTCAAAATGAAGTCAAATCTATTACCATACATAATGTTTATATATACACCTTCATTATCCAATACATTGTTTTGCAAACAACCCACCAAATTTTAAATTCAAAAACAAATGAAAATATATTAAAATATAATAATGAGTCTTGTAAGCCCCATAGAAATACAAATCAATCTTTGTTCTATTTCCAATTATGTTATTTTCCATAAACTCACATACAAACATCATTATAACACTTAATAACGGACACCATGATAGTTAATTCTTGCCACTTACCACTTAAGAAGAAAAATAGAGAGATGGACATGAATCCAAATCACCACAAAGGCAACATGGCCAAGGAATATGCAACAACATACGAATACGAACCTAAAAGAACAGAAGAAGTAAAAGAAAAAGCAAAAGAAAAGCTATAAAAAAAGCACGGTGACATGTTCACACTGGGAAGTAGGCAAGGGCGGGGGGGGGGGGGGGGGCTTCCCAACGGGCGCGGGTCGACCCCCCCAGCCCGGGATCTATCCCCCCGGGTACCCCCCCGAGGGGGGTCCAGTGTCCAAGTGAAATGGGAAAACTCCCCATTGTCGTCGTTGCCTGGGTCCCACTTCCCCTTCCCCCTTTCCCTTCCCTCGGAAAAATATCTGAATAAAAAGCAACTTGCCTTCCCCTTGGTTTGCCCCGCCTTTGCTTTGCCCCTGCCTTTGCTTTGCCTTTCTTCTTCTTCTTCTTCTTCGGCTTCGGTGCCGCACTCTTTCTGTGCCATAGATCTACCACGGGCACCTCTCCCATCCCCCGACATTGCCCGATCCGTGCACCACTCCAGGTTTGTGAGAACACTACTGCCGCTGTTTCCGTTTCCTGTTCGTCTCGCTGTGTCTGCTTCACACATCCCCCCTCCCCCCCCCCCCTCCTGGTTGCGTCAACATGCCAATCTAGGGTTCTGCATTCGTCTTCTCGAGGTCGTGTTGAGTTAATGCGGGCCTCTACTACGCCGCGGAATGCAGCGGAGTATGAAATGAGCACTGGACGCTGGTTTTGCGCGCGCGTTTAGTTTTTGATTTTTTGATCTTTGTAACCCCCCCCCCCGGTCTTATTTGTTTATTGTTTGTTACGATGGTAATTTTAGTTGTGAAATATATATATATATATATATATATATATATATATTGGGGTGGAGGATTCGTGTTTGGTCATGAATTGTTGGTGGATCCGGGAGGGTTGTTGCCGTGTGTATCTCATGGCAATGTCTCGATCGCGAAGTTAAGCGAGTCGTTTAGCGAAATGAGCGGGGAGTTTATCTGGGTGGGAAGGATCGTTGTGCAGGTGTTCTGAATGGTGGTTTGTCAGTTTGGGAATGGAGATTCACCTATGCTAGAGTCAGTGGCTAGATGAGTGATATCATGGCAAGACATAGCAATGTGCGTTTGCTTGGCACATCTTTTATTTTTTATTTTGATCTTTTAGAAGGCGAAAACATCGATTTGTAGTGCAGTAGTTGTGAACATGACGACAAGTCCGTATATTACAAGAACAGCTAGTCGTGGGAAACTGTACTTTGAAATTTTAGCTTCACTAGGTAACTGCAGCTATTCCGATGTAATTTTGGATTGCTGAGATCAGGATAGCTATGTGAGTGCGTGGGCACCGATCTTAAGTGTGGCGCGGAGTGTATTGCTGTTATGGTTAGAATGGACGAATTCTGGTGTAGTATTCACCAATTGTTATCTCCGTTGTATCACAGTCTATCTGATGTTTCGCCTCTACTGCATGCAGGGACCTGGTGCGGAACGCAGCTTAAATCTTCTAGGAATAAGTGGCGTGAACCAGTGATAAGAGGCTTACTCCGGTGGTTCTATTGTAGAATTATTACCAATATGGGCCTTAGAGGAAGTTGACTATGGAGGATCATGGTTCGAGGTTAAAAAAGAACGATTGATATTCTAGCAAGGAACAGATGTCAAGTAAGTGGTCACCATGAAATGGCTTGAGCGTTTCAAAGAGAAAGTGAGTCAGACCTCATTCTCTCCAACAAGCCCTCAGGCAAGGCTATCACGTCAGTGCTCTGAAGATGGAATCACTAGACCCAGGTATTAGTTGAATACATTTTTCATCGCTTGAATTGATTTTATTACCAGAAGATGCGTTGGAATCACGTTCTTATGTAGGACATGAATTTGAAGACCTTAGGATCTGCTCGGGAATTTCTGATTGTGTACGAAGGCCAAGAATTTTATACAAGTCTTGAATTTGATGCGTGTTTCACTTTGTCAGTCTCTAGGTTTACAAGTTAATATTGCTATCCTGATCCCTCTCATTATTTGATGTTCTTCCTTGGGTCTATGTCAAATGAAACCCTTTCAAGCACAATGTCTCTAATCAGTACATCAACTTTTTCTTCTCTCTATTTCAGATCTCCGTAATCTACTCTGATTTCATGTTGATTGGGTATTCTTCGCAGAGAAAAAGATGACTTGGAACAAGATTTTCGATCGGCATGGGAGGATTTTCGGTCATCAATTACCGAAAAAGTACAAAGCTCGCTCTTGAATTGGTGTCGGAAGTGTTGGCTGGATAGTTGGGTTTGGATTGCAAATAGTATTCCTTATGCTGGCTTGTGACATTCGCCAGTTGTTGTGTTTCAGTTATTTGGTTCATATTGAACATTGTGCTGCATGCTCGCTCTCTGATTACTTTATGTGAAGACTCCAGAATATTTTTACGTGCGTTTCATGTGTTTTTCATGTTAACTTTCTTTGATTTTCTGCTGTGCAGGAAAAAGAGAAAGCCTTGGATGTAACCGTAAGCCTTTTCTGTAAGGTTGCTCGGCAGAGTTCAGATCCGACTCGACTTGCCCTTTCGTATGTCTCATTCACCTTAATTTTCAATGTTATTTTCGCAATTTTGTGACATCTGAAAATGTTATCATTGATGAAAAAAATGCACACAACTGTCGACAGGTTTTACAGTTTCTTGTATTGTTGTCTTAGTATTATTGTACAATATAATAACAGCGCTGTTCCCATTCTATATTTTGTGGACAGGTTGGTGGATATACGTTCTTTTGCATTTGTCGTTGCTCGAGCACTAGTAACAGAGATTAAGAAATTACGAGAAGATGGAGCAAACGGGCAGCTTCAGGCTGATGACTTGTTGAGTTTCTTTACCGGATCGCAAGTCGAGGTACACAAGTCTGAACTGCTTCTATAATGAAATTTGTGTGTTGATCATTCTTAGACAGTCGGCAGTTTCTGTTTGTAAAAATTGTTGAACTATGACTGCAGGGAAATGGGAAAACTGGTGCTAATCTCCTCTTCGCTTTGGAAGGGCTCGTCTCTACGGTACGCCATCTTCTTCTTGTGTGTTTCGTTTCCCGACATGTGTATATGGTAGAAGATGAGAATCCTGCGGGATAACATGCAATTCAAACTCGGGTTGGGAGGATTTCTAGATTTGTGAAGTGAACAACGTTTTGTACGGATATGCCTGGTCTTACAAATGTTCCTCGTTCTTGCAGGAGCTGGACGTTCAACCTCTGATCGATGCTGGCCTCTTTCCCTCACTTGTCACTGTCTTAAATTGCTTATTAAGCTCTTCCATACCACCCAATAGTCATACAGTTTTTACCAATAGCGGTCCGTGTTCAACTGACAGCTCCACCGAACCATCCAACACCTCGACACTAGTGGCTGAAGGATCGGAACTGGCAGATCCAATTCCTGCTGTGGTTGAGACAGCAATCGTGGATGTGTCCACTCCACGAGCTTTAGAAGCTGCAGACACAGTGTCTCAAAATGAAAACCCTCCTGGTGACGGTGATGAGTGTCAGCATGGTGAGAAAGGACTTCCGTTGGTTGAGAATGTCCTCCAACAACCTGCATCAGATGCTGTGATACAAAATGAAACTTCTGGTCGAGTCGAAGTGGCTTCGCTGGGTCAGCAACCTACATCCAAGGCAGATGAAGCTCCTGTCAGTGTGCTTGACGGGATACCAATGGAGGAAAGACGAGCTTTGGTACATATTCAGTATGCTTTTGCGTATCTCTCTCTCTCTCTCTCTCTCTCTCTCTCTCTCTCTCTCTCTATCTATCTATCTATCTATATCTATATATATCTATATCTATCTATCTATCTATCTATCTATCTATCTATATATATATATATATATATATACATGTGTGTGTGCTGTGTGTGTTTGTGGAAACATGTTAGTAGTCACTTCTTGGTTATTTTTGGTTGAAAGGGTTAATCCAGACTACGTTGTATTGAACTGCTTGGATTGGCACATTAGTTGTGTTTTAATACAGTGCGACGATGAGCACAGGTGGAAGCTGGTGTTGTTCACGTTTTGAAAGCAATGGCACGACATGCTGGTGCGGCACAAAGTTTATTGGAAGACGATGCACTTCAGTTACTGTTTCATATGGTGGCTACGGGGGTCCCCGCCCAAAAGAAAGGAATTTCTGATGCTTTGGACCTCCAGATCAGCACCCCCTTACATTTAGCACAGCTTCGTCGTCATGCCATGCAGGTTCGCTCTCTTCTGGAGGCGATCTTTCTTTATTGTTGTAATGTTCATTATTTGAGGCTGTAAGTGCTGGTGAACTTGACAGTCTTGCTTAAATATGACGATTAATACTTTCTTTCGTACACTGAGAAAACCGTGCTTTCTCGGTATTTTGCAGATCCTAGAGGCTGCGTTGATGAGCGATAATGGGAGTACAGCCCAGTATGTACAAACTCATGAATTGGTTCGTATGCCACTCCAAAATTTTAAGTTATGCTTTCCATTCTTGTGATTCTAAACGTTTCTATTGGTGTTTTCTTCAGCTAAGATCGACTGATTCTGTGGTTGGTATTGATGTTCTTCTAAGCAGATTGAAGTGCTGCTGTCTCCAGTCAAGAATTTCCTGGCTGAAAGCAACGGTGATGCAAGCTATATTATTAGTGTGGTCGCATTAATCCTTAAATGTGTCCAGCTCTCGTCTCGTCCAGGTACTTGAAATCTGACCACTGACGTTGATGGTAACGCTTTCACTCGGTTCATCCGAGTGTAGATAGAGTTTCTGTTTCTTCTGAGAAAACTTTGTGTTTGGTCTAAAATACAGTACATGATTTGCAGAGTCTCGTGGAATACGCTTGAAGGATGGTTTTCGGAAAGGGAAAGGTTACACTTGCCTGGAAAAACTAGCATTACAATTAGCTGCTTCGCCAGGGAGTACGGAAGGAAATTTTGAATCACCCATTGTAAACCGGGATTCTTTATTCCCGGATGCTTCATATGGTCAAGTACCTGGCGATCGTCAAACAGGGATGGCTGACGGTGATTCTAGTGGGACCTTGTCGCCTTTGCTGATACGTCTTCTAGACATCATGGTTGATTTTGCACAGTCAGGTTCTCGAGCACAATACCGCTCCTCATCGGGCATTGGGGAGCGTTCGGGACGGCCAGCTACTGGTAAACCAGTGCGCGCCTTATTTGAAGGAATTGGTTCAACCTCCTCTTTCGATACCCGCGAACTTGATTTGGAGGGTAAAATAGGGGACATCGAGATAGTTCAGACTTTCCAAGATGTTTTCCTATACACAGGAAATGTGATGTTGCAGCTTGAAATACTAGACCGCCTTCTCAGACTATTCGCCAGCCATCCAGATAACTACGTACTTGTACAGGAGCGGCGTACAATGCCACTCTTCTTACAAAACATGGGCAGTTACGCGTTGATACTTCAAGAGCGGCTTTTGAAGGTTTTGGAGTACGCCGTAACTGTGGTAAATTGTATTCCCGAACAAGAGCTTCTTTCTCTCTGCTACCTTCTCCAGCAACCTTACGCATCACCTTTACGAAAAACAGTGCTATCATTTTTTGGGAAACTCTTATCATTTGATAGGAATTACAAAAAAGTGTTGAGGGAAGTAGGGCTCTTGGATCTTCTACTTGATGACTTGAGGCGATGTGGTCTCTCAGAAGACCCTATATCGAAAGATAATGCTGAACCTCTAGTTGAATCTCCCTCTCTGGAGCTCCATATCTTTGAAGACAAGGTCACTATTGGGCTTGCCTGGGAGTGCCTGCTCTCTCTCCTGAAGAAGAGTGATGGAAACCAAACAGTGTTTCGAAAGGCGAATGGGGTTGGTTACATTCTTCCTCTTGTAGCTTCAGCTTCTCAACGCAGCGGTGCTCTTCGTGTGCTTTCGTGTCTGATATGCGAAGATATTAATCAGGTTAGTTATGTTTTCCTTTCCTCCTGCTTGAATTGTACATGTCTGGAACTTGATCCTTGATAGGATCTCAGGCTATGCAGACCATTATTATATGGTTTGGAGGATTTACAACAATAAATGTTCTGTCTGTATTTATAAACTGGGATGAGTGCTTTGCTTAAGTGTTCTGAAATCCTCTGTAATCCTCTGAAATCCTGAAGTAATGTACATTTTCTTCTATAGTAAACCTGTACTATCTGTTTCTGTCCACCTTTTGGTCTATCTAAGATTTCTGCATTTTTCAGGCGCATGCAGATGAACTCAAGTCTCTCTTGAAGATTGCTCATAGTGGAGTTGTTTCTGGTCAAAATGGAGTACAAAATGTTCTCGACATTGAAGCAAAGGAGGACATTTTGTGGTGTGTCTGGCGAATCCTTGGAGCCAATTCCACAACTCGAGTTGTTTTTGGTGATGGGAATGGCTTTGGTCTTCTACTTTCTGTTTTGGAAGGCATTCATTCAGGCTGTAATGATCCCAGTGTGGAGTCGATAGGTGATGAAGCTGCACCTGCTTCAAGTCTTGCTGTGCACATGGAAGTTTTAGATGCATTATTGCACGTTATTACTGTAGCGGCAGCTGAAAGTCCAACGAATCGGAACAAGCTACATGAATGCGTTTCGTCACAAGCTTTTAAACGCTTACTGCAGAGATCTGGACTTCTATGTCCCGAGTTTGAGCAAAAAGTGGCAGAGCGTTTGTTTGATGTGGCGCTAGAACGAGTTCACTCTCCTTCTCAAAGTAATTTGGGACTTCCAATTTTGTCACAAGGAGAAGGAACCAAGAGCTTTAGAATTCCAGGAGCAGAGGGAGAGTTCCTTGTAAACCCTGGTCAAGCAGCACAGATGGATGTATATAATGCAGGGCCAATCGAAGTTCTTCTGTTTTTTTTACCACAGTTTACTGTGAAGTTGCAGCTTCGTATACTGGTCCAGGTCGAGAGGTTTGTCAATGACAGCCCGTGGAATCAGAATGCCTTAACCTCTGCTGGTAAGTTACGTATCATAATTCTGGTGCCGTTCAGTGCCCAGAGCTTGGGACTATAACAGGTTGTACATTATATTCTTTCAAATATCCCTATTTGTTGGGAGCTTCTCATACCTGATTTTTGTATCTAGATGTCCTTTGCCCAGTCTAAACAATTCATTTCATAATGGAGTGTAGGCTGTGTGGGACATCTACTGGAGGTAGTGAAATCAATGCTGCAAACGAAGCCTTCCTCTCTCTTGTCATATGCTTTGAAGATTGTGGAAATTCTTGGATCCTTCAGGTATGCAGCCCACATCCTTATCTCTCCTTTTAAATTTTGAACATTTTTATTTATTGATAAAGTGACATCTTAGTAATGTATAGCCTACTAATGAACACCCATTGCATATTGTTTGGGTGTTGGTATTTGTGTTACAATATGATGTGTATAGTCATGATTTCAAGGTACTACCCTTTCGGAACAGTTCAGTACCGGCATAATACTTGATTGTAATTTTTTCTTTACGAATTAATTTTTTGGGTTGCTACTGGTTTGTTATTGTGCGCCTTATAAATTCCCCCCCTGCTTGTGAATATCGATTTTTTAAAAATTATTTTTCTCTTATTTCTTCTACACAGGCTTTCTGCCTCAGAGATGCAAACATTGGGGAGAATCGTCTGGTTTAACCGGGACTCTTCTGTTGGTCATATGGGTCAGCGCCTCTTACAAATGGTTGAGAGGATGAGTCAATCTTCTCCTTTCTCAAGCGCAAGCCTGTCATTCTCCCCCTTCATTGAGTTTCGTATGTCTCGGATGGGACATGCTTGTCTGAGAACCCCTTTGGGGGACCGAACATGGCCTCCTACTGCTGGTTACTCTTTTGTTTGTTGGGCTCGGTTTGAGAAACTAAGCGCTCAAAATGGTCAGAACTCAAGTGGAGCTGAAGCATCTAAAGAGTTGCACCGAAATCGATCTGGTTCTTTAGGCTCTGTTCTGCGTATCTTGACAGTTGGAACAGCAGAAGACAAGAGTTCAATTTGTGCAGAGCTCTTTCTAAGTGATTCTGGAGTCCTGACACTGGCTACAAGCCCAACTTCTTATCTGTGCTTTAAAGGCGTGCGATTAGAAGAGGGTATTTGGTACCATCTCACCATAGTACACAATAAACCTAATGCATTGGCCGGACTTTTCCAGTCTAGTGTTGCTTATCTCTACCTTAACGGGAGCCTCCGTCATACAGGGAAGCTTGGCTACTCAGCCTCACCTGTTGGAAAACCATTACAGGTTCGTAGTATATATCTTCATATTTTTCATCACTTAGAATGTGTGTTCCTAAATTATATCGTTTAAGTTATGTGATACTTTTTTGAGATGTATACATTCTTTTAACTATTGATTATGACGTTAACTTCAACCATCAATCTCTGAACAGGTTACAGTAGGCACCTCATCATCTTTTTCGGAGGTGTCACCTTTTACTTGGCAGCTTGGTTCATGCTACTTATTTGAAGAGGTTCTCCCTGCTCCGGCAATTTTCTTCATGTATGTACTTGGGCGTGGTTACCGTGGACTTTTTCAAGACACTGACATGTTGCGGTTTATACCTTATGAAGCCTGCGGCGGGGGCAATTTGATGGTACTGGAGAGCTTAGATACAGAGCTCTTAGCCACGCTGAAAGCCGAAGGACTAAGCCAAAATGCTGGAGTGGCTCAATTGGAAGGCAGTGGAGTTATTTGGGATCTGGAGAAGCTTGCCCGCTTTTGGGCCCAGCTTTGTGGTCGCCATCTTATATTTGCTTACGATGGTTCGCATGCGGAGGATGTTGTTCCAGCTGGTGTTATGTCAATGGTGAACTTGGTTGATCCCATGTCAGCAGCAGCTTCTGTTCTTGGAGGTAAGCTCCTGCAACAAATAATTCCAAATTCCCATTTTCTTTAGCTCAAGTTCGTACTAATTACCTGCCCTTGATCTCACAGGATTACCAAGACTTGCTCGAATACATGGAGACGTCCACATTTGCACGCCATGCAATATCGCAGATACTATGCGTAAAGTGGGAGGTGTGGCAGTTGTCCTGGCAATGATTGAGGCTGCTGATAGTTGTGAAACGCTGCACCTCGCTCTCTCTGTTTTGGTATCTATGCTACAGTCAAATCCTCGGAATGCACGTGACATGCAAGCTTGTCGGGGCTATCATCTATTAGCTTTATTCCTTCATCGAAGAATGGATTATTTTGAGGCTCGGGATCTTGACTTTTTGTTCCGAATCGCATCCTGTGAAGCATCCTTTGTTCAAAAGCCACCCCAGACAACAATACCTGCATCTGAACCTGCTGGCCATAGCAGGAGTCTAAGTGCAGGATTTGACACAGCTATGAACCTCTTAGGTTTCTCATCTAGGGTTCCAGACGATCAGACATCAAACTACGGGTCCACGGTGGAGTATCCAGAGAGTCTTGGCATGGATGGATCGATTGGTGGCGGTGTATCTGACATCGAGTGCTATGATCTTCCACATGAGGATATCGATTGTATAGTTCTTGCTAATCCAGAAATGATGGAGCATGTTTTACTGGATTGGACTCTATGGGTAACTGCACCTATCGGGGTCCAATTAGGTCTTCTAGGTTTCATTGAAAGGCTTGTTTCTATGCATCGGTACCGTCTCCACAACTTAACTGTTTTAAGAAAACTCAATTTAGTTCAGCACTTGTTAGTTACCCTGCAGAGAGGGGATGTTGACAATGTTGTGCTGGAAAAGCTTGTAGTGCTGTTAGGTATCATCTTGGAAGATGGGTTCTTGCCTTCAGAGCTCAAATATGTTGCAGATTTTGTTGTGATGACATTTGACCCACCCCATATCGTAAAAGGTGTCTCAGGTATCACCCGTGAGTCCATGGGTACACAGGTGAGTTTTCGTTAATCATTTAATCTGAGTGGAAATTTGCTTCATAATCTGACTTAGCGAGGTCTTTCTCGTTTAGATCATAGTTTTAAAAACATCCATCTTCCTTCGGACAATTCTTGAGCTTGTTTTGTATAACAAGGTATTTAGGCATTAGCGTGCCTAAAGTGGAGGGGGTGCAATCACTGGTGGGTAATTTAATCTCAAAATTATGGTGTTGTAATCTCTAGCATCTAGTATTTCCTTCTTACCAGATGATTGGTTGACTTTATCTTGAGCCCTTCAATGTTTGATGATGTTGAGGCAGGTTATCGTGAGAGATTTGCTTCTTGAGATGCTCATTGAACTTCAAATGACTATTACAGCAGATGACACATTAGATACGTGGCACAAAATTGTGTCTTCAAAGCTCATTACGTTCTTGTTGGATGAAGCTGTTCATCCTACTAGTATGCGATGGGTTATGACTTTACTTGGTGCGTGCCTGCTACCTTCCCCTACATTTGCCGCCCGCTTTAAAAGCTCAGGTGGCTTCCAAGCCTTGGCTCGTGTTTTGCCAAGTTTTTACGATTGTCCTGAAATTTACTACATACTCTTCAGCCTCATTTTCGGGAAGTCTGTATATCCAAGACAACCTGAGGTGTGGTCATCTTGCCATTTAACTTTTCTTCAGTGTCCTTCCACTTATCAGAATGCTCTTTCAATGTTTTTGATTGTGTTGAAGATTCTGAAGGTGTTCAAAAATGCATTTGAAGCTCGTAAAGACATACGAACTTACCATGAGGTGCTTCATTTCCCAGGTTCGCCTGCTTGATTTCCATGCTTTGTTGCCCGAGGACGGGAACAAAGCAGAGCTCGTCTTTACCGAACTCTTAGACTCAGTGATATCGATGGCGAAGGCTGCATTTGATCGCATGATCGCACAGTCTGAATCAGCCAAACAAACTGGCGATTTCTCTGGATTTACTGTTACTTTAGCTTCTGATCAAACAGACGGAGAGACACTCCAGGTTGGTGCCTATTGCTGATTTTGATCATATGCTTTCTTCATTTGGTTTCCTTCTTTACTAACGTGTCATGTATCATACTCCACGATATACTTCCTAAACGCAATCGAGAGTTCTCAAGTAAAAAATAATCCTGTTTACGCAACTGCTGAGTTAAATATACGAACTTGATTGTAAATGCAGGGTGAGGCTCTTTTACATAAGACATATGCAGCAAGACTTCTGGGAGGGGTACAGGCAGCTCCTGGAATGGTTTCATCTCTGTTACGCTTCATGGTGGATTGTGCAAAGATGTGCAAACCCTTCTCAATGGCATGCCGTCGGTCCGACTTTCTTGAGTCCTGTGTAGATCTTTACTTTGCCTGTATAAGGTAGCAAATTCTCTTCTAAAAATGATGGCTAAATCTGTTGTTTGCATTATTGTGAGAGAGATTTGCACTGGGCTGCACCCCTCTGATCTCTTTTTCTCTGAATTGCTCTATTTTCTCGTCGGGAAAAAGGTTCGGGTGGTTGCACTTTCTGATAATGCGTTGATTACTTATTGGATCTACTGCACATTGTTGTGTTTCAATTATGTGAAACTCAATAAAGTTTAAGTTTGCAAGGTGATCTATCCTTTGCAGGTCTGCTGCTGCAGTAGAAGGTGCACAAGAGTCTAAATGGGAAACAAAGGATCAGCTACTGGAGGAAGACTTGGAAAAAACACAGTTTGTAGAATCTTCCAATATCAGAAATGGAAAACTTGATGTTTCTGGGCTGACTGTTGTTACAGAATATCCAACAGAGACGGCAACGAGAGTGTCACCGAAAATCGCTTCTAGAACGGAAGAAGGATTCCCTGATGTTGCCCACATTTCTTCTATTTCAGGTAACCCTTAAATCTATCTGAATGATACTCTGGCTATCCTATAGATTGAAGTTCTTGTGGAACTCCAGTGATAAATTGTGTTCAATTCTTTGCACTACTGCCTTGTGAGAAATACCTCTTACAGATGAAACTGATCTAAATCTATCATGTGACCAGCTTCCTCATGATCCGTTCCTGCATGAGTCGTGAGTTGCTACACGAAGCATTGAGCTTACTGTCTTATTGAAGCACTTAACTGTTTCTCATGATCCTACATCTTCTCCATGGGAACCCTGCCACATTATGATGTACTATGTATGTTGAATGTTCTCATCGTGCAACACAAGAAATTATTTCTCATTATGAGATGTGGATTACTGCAGAGAGTGAAGCTCTGACGGTTGACTTGGCTATGTCACCAACAACATCGGAAATGTCCAGGATTTCGATGCTCACTCCAAAGCCTACGACTCCTCCTGTGAAGTCATGGCTGACTCATCCCTTAACTTTGGACTTATCTGAAACAAGACAACCCACGACCACACTTTCAGCACCTCCAACGCCACCAAGGTCGAATAAAGAGCGAACTAGGCACCTCTCTTTCTCTGCAATCTCATCTATATCTGGCAATCAAAGTGATGTTGACTTCAATTTTAGCGATTTTGGCCCTCCGTCTTCTACAAGTGTCACACCTAGTGAAACCTTAAATGCTGCAATTACCCCTCGTTTGCTTTTGCAACTGGAATCTTTGGGTGCTGGGGGTGGGCCCTGCGCTGCAGCTGCATCTGCCATATTGGATTTTATTGCAGAAGTGTTGGCAGAAACTTTACTCGAGCAGGCTAAATCAATAACCGTGGTGGAGAGTATTCTTGAAGCTGTGCCCATGTATGTCAATTCAGACGCAGCTCTTATCTTTCAAGGGCTTGTTTTGAGGCGAATAATAAATGATCTCGAGAGGAGGCTGATGCGCGATTCAGAGGAGAATCACAAGAAATTAGATAAGAATAGGTATCCTTCTCCTTTTTTCTTTCTTAGATGTATGTTATTTGTAGCCTTTCATTCTTTGGATAACATATTGGGGTGGATATTTACTTTTGAGTTGTTCACAGTTGTTTTGGCTCTAGCTTTGTTGTAGTTATTCATTAAATCCTTGAGTGCTTTGTGTGTAAGGTTTTGTTCTGCACTGCCATGATTTGTTTTTGAAAGACTGTTATCCTGAGCTTGCGGATTTGTACAGGTGGGCTCCCAATCTTGATACGCTGAGTTGGCTGTTAGTCGACCGCGTATACATGGGTGCATTTGCAGAGGCTGGAGGCCCTCTCAATGTCCTTGAGTATCTTCTCTCGATGCTTCAATTAGCCAACGCAGATGGACGTGTAGAAGATGCAACTCCGACGGCCAAAGGCATGCTGTTCACGAGGAGCGGTGGTCGTCAGGCAGAATCATATGTTCAATCTCTTTTGAAGAATACGAACAGGATGCTTATGTTTTGTTTCTTGCCACAGTTGATTAACAGCCCCGTAGAAGAAGACTTTCCCGCAACGAATGGGAAAAAGATCAATCCATCTGCTTCAGGCTCAGAGATCGTTATGGAGAGTGTTCCAAAATGTCTGGAGAGAGTTTCTGGGGATGTTGGCGTTACTTACCAAGTTATTCTTGATAAAGCCGCAGTTTTGCAATTATTACTTGCCAATCGAAAAATAATCTTTTGCACCATCAATGTAGACCTTGAATTAGTATGTGCTCTTTGTATAAATCTTTTTCCGATGGCTTTAGATACTGAACAAAGCAATAAGACTGTGGTTTTTGAAGTCTGGAAAGCGTTGTTGACACATCGCAGTTCTGCTTTGGAGGATGTACTCATCACACGAGGTAGCCAGGTAAAATTTTCACCCTCGGAAGATAAACATAGGGTGTAGTGGTTATGTTGCGTTGTCTTATGGGCAATCTTAAGCTCTAGTCTGATTCAAAGGCTGGTGTATTCTTGTTCGCGTGCAGGGCAGTGTTCTGATGGACGTACTTCATGGAGGCTTCGATCGGCTGCTTAAAGCAGGAGTTCAAGACTTCTTCGTATGGCTTCAGGAGAATTGGGAGTCTGTACAAAGAGTGCTGGAGCAGCGAGCATCCACCATATGGAGGGATTACGTTTCGGCAGCATCACGTTTTCCTGCAGCTCGCACTAAATCGATGGAGGTTCGACGACGGAGAGAAATGTCTCGTCGTAGTAGGGAACGCTCCAAGATGGATACTCGCCATTGGGAGCAAATGTTGGAAAGACGCGTGGCACTTGAGTTAGTCAGAGAGGCTATGGCAGCCGAATTAAGGGTTCTTCGTCAAGACAAATACGGGTGGATACTTCATGCGGAAAACGGGTGGGCAGATCATCTCCAGCAGCTAGTTCATGAGCGAGGAATTTGGCCAATCGTCCCAGAGGTCTGTGATGAAGAACCTGATTGGCAGCTGTGCCCAACCGAAGGACCTTATCGCATGCGGAAGAAGTTAGAGCGAAGGAAGAAAAATCTTAGCATTCTTGGGAAATCGCAACTCATGGTGCATATCTGAACCAAAATCATAAGAATGCTCTCTTTTTCAATCTTTGACATGGTTATTTAGAGATTTCGAATTTAAGTCATGTTGTTTTATTCCATTAAATACCTGGTGGTACGATTGTGAAATTTGAACTGTTTGTACCTTGTTGTGGAGTTGAGAAAGATGCTAATAATCTCTCTTGCTTGAAAAGCTTCCGTACGATAATTTTCTCACGCTCCGTACTATCTTCGCGAGTACTGCTTCTGTAAGAGTAATTGAAATTGATTCAATATTGAGCGTTAGATCAAAAGTTCACGCACGAGTGTACAAGTCGATTCGAGGAATTATTTGTGCGTTAATCTCTTATTGGAGTGGTGGCACTCATGTTTACGGATTGTTGATCAGGAGGAGCGACAGAACGATGGGGTGTACAAAGTTTCTCCAAATGATGGAGTTAATCCGTTGGACAAGGAGAATCCACTTCATGATCAGTACGTTGACCTTTTTAGTTCCGATACTCAGAAACGCCTGGGATATTCAAGTAAGGAGTTTCTGGCATCACTTGAGGAAGACATCGGAGAATTGAAGACTGAGATTGGTGACGATGAGGAAGATATGTTATCCGCAAGAGTTAACTGGAATGAGGAGTCATTTTCTGGCAACTCAGAATCTCAGAGACCAAAGGCTATGAGTGTTGCTTCTCTCAAGCTTGCTGGAGAAGAAGTCATAGACCAAGTTTTAGGTTCTCCACACGGATCCGTCTCTCCAGCAGTAGAAGAGATTATGCCAGAAGAAGCAAATTATTTAGAGCAAGAGATGCATGAGGATGGAGAATATTTGATTAGGCCTCATTTGGAACGTGGAGAGCGTATCAGGTTTCGATATAATTGTGAGCGAGTGGTTGGCTTAGACAAGCGTGACGGAATTTTCCTTATTGGGGAAAAATGCTTGTATGTTATTGAAAATTATATTATTGATGAAAACAAGTGTATAAAGGAGAAGGGTGAAGAACGAGATCTCTCAATTATTGATCAGGCTCTTGGAGTTCGAGCTAATTCAACTGGTGTAGTGGATATGAACATATCCAAGCAGACGGAAGTTGCAGCTGATTCTTGGGCTGGAGGTCGTGCTTGGGCTTACAGTGGGGGTGCATGGGGAAAGGAGAAGGTGAGTGAGAACTACATTGAGTGATGTTTTTCGAATGCCATTTATTCTTCAGGTGCATTTTATCTGCCTTAGGTACTTGCTGACACGATCTGGATAATGGTTCTCAAATCATTACAGGTAAAAGCAGGCCAAAATATGCCACATCCATGGAGGATGTGGAAACTAGAAAGCGTGCATGAGTTGCTGAAGCGGCGGTACCAGCTACGTCCTGTTGCCATTGAGTTGTTTAGCATGGATGGATGCAATGACCTGCTTGTTTTTCATAAAAATGAACGAGACGAGGTTTTCAAAACTCTTCTCGCAATGAACCTTCCTCGCAACAGCATGTAAGCCCTTTTCTTCATTAGTCCATGTTTATGTATTTTGTCTTGACATTCTAATTAATTGAAAACGAACCAGCAAGAGATGTGCTTTTTAAGAGGTAGGCACGGATTTTCACGCTTGTGTTAGCGGCTTCGGTAATGTTCTTAATCATTGAAATTGGAGTACAGGCTGGATACAACAATATCGGCCGCTTCAAAGCAAGAGGCCGGTGAAGGTGGGCGACTCTTTAAAATGATGGCCAAGTCCTTTAGTAAAAGGTAAGAACACATGTTTTAATGAGGTTCGATTACAATTTTCTCCGATGATTAATATCTTATGCAAATCTGTGGTTTCTCTTTTTGACATTTCTTTCATATCTCATCAATCATGGTTTGCTTCTGGTTATAGATGGCAAAATGGGGAAATCAGCAATTTCCAGTACCTCATGCACTTAAACACACTAGCAGGGCGTGGTTATAACGATCTCACACAGTATCCAGTGTTTCCCTGGATTTTGAAAGACTATACTAGCGAAGAGTTGGACTTGTCGAATCCAGATACATTCCGTCGCCTTGATAAACCTATGGGGGCTCTGCATCCTGAACGAGAGAAGGAATTCCGAAAAAGGTTATACTCCTGATATCATGCGTAAACTTAGAGAATTGTTGAATATCTAGGAATTTCAACGCTTAAACGTCTGGGTGCGAATCTACACACCACTAAGGTGACTATTACGGTCGCACTGTGGGCGTTTGAGGGTTGATGTACCACTGCTTGTAGTGTCTTTTACTTCAAAAGTTTGGGGTATAGAGTATAATAGAATTCAGATTGGAAAATCTGCTAGTGATTATTAACTTGGCTTTCTGGCATTCAGGTACGAGACTTGGGAGGATCCAGAAATTCCGAGATTCCACTATGGTTCACACTATTCCAGTGCTGGAAGTGTGCTATTTTACCTCATAAGGTTACCCCCATTTAGTCAAGAAAACAAACAGCTTCAAGGGGGTGCTTTCGATCACGCTGACCGACTCTTTAACAGCATCAAGGATACCTACCTCAGTGCAAGTCAAGGAAATACTGCTGATGTTAAGGAGCTTATTCCTGAGTTTTTTTATCTCCCCGAGTTTCTGGAGAATCGCTTTGGTTTTGATTTTGGAGTTAAGCAATCAGGTGAAAGGGTGAATGATGTGCTACTGCCGCCCTGGGCAAAGGGAAGTGCTCGTGAGTTTGTTCGCAAACATCGTGAGGCCTTAGAATCACAATATGTCTCCGAAAACCTGCACCACTGGATTGATCTCATCTTCGGTTTCAAGCAGCGTGGAAAGGTTTGGTCACACACTCAAGTAGCTGCAGAATTCTTGCATTGTTCGCACTAGCTGGTAGTATTCAGTAAAGGATGATTTATATCTCTTAAAATTCCCAAAATCATCAGAAAACCACGACAATTGTTGAACAAGCTTTTTGTGACCTCTTGTGTTCAGCTTTTAAAGACCAACTATTTCAACCTATGGGTGTACTTTGACATGAACCCTAAAACATAATTTGCAGATAAAATTGAAAGCTATTTAGTCTTATCGCACCAGCACTTACTGTATTTCATCTATACATGTTTCGTGATCTTGAGTTTGTCTACCATTATTGTTGTTACTACTAGTAGTAGTAGTTTGGTGATAGGTGTGGAAAATCTTTAACTTGTTATACATCCTTTGATTTTTGTTACAGCCGGCTGTTGAAGCTTTAAATGTATTCTACCACTTGACGTATGAGGGAGCAGTTGACATCGATCGCGTTCCCGATCCTGCAATGAAAGCTGCTGTTTTGGCTCAGATCAACCATTTTGGACAGACACCAAAACTGCTCTTTACCAAGCCTCATCCTAAGCGGAAGTGGGTTCAGAAGCAGCCACTTGCGCTTGCCCTCCGCAATTACCATTTACTTGCTCCTCAGGTGCTCATGAGCTCACGGGGTTTCTTTCTTTCCTTCTTCCTTTCTTTTGCTTGTTTGCATTTTTCTATTCGAGAAATTTCGCGAAGGTGTGTAGGTTTGAACTTCTTTGTTTTGGTTGATGATCGTTCTTCAGGAAATGCGGCCATTGAGTTCAAGAGTATCTCAAATAGTTATTTTTCAAGACAAGGTATACGCAGCAGGAGCTAACAGAATACTGAAGCCACCCTCTTTTACCAAGTATCTTTGTTGGGGATTTTCAGATCGTAGCCTTCGGATTATCTCATATGAGCAAGAGAGGCTCCTCTCCACCCATGAGAATCTTCATGACGACGGACCTGTGTTATGTACTGGCTTTAGTCGCGATGGTCGAATTCTGGTCACTGGTACTAGCACTTAAATATTGTTCTCCTAATGTATTAGCTCTCTTTATTTTTATGATTTATTAAAAAAATGATAAATTGTTTAGGGTTTGCCATTCCATTTCAACCGGTACTGATGGACCACCATTTATTTTTGTCCCTTACTCAAGGCAACTAAGTCCTTTCCTTTCCACACCAAGTTGGCCACTGACTCTTCTTTTTACAGGTGGAGCGGATGGGGTGGTATCTGTATGGAGACAACGAAAAGATGGTCTTCGAGGACAGCGTCGGCTACATTTGCAGAGATCATTGTGTGCTCACTCACAAGCAGTCCTCTGCCTTGCAGTTTCCCAACCATACAGTCTCATTGTTAGTGGATCTAAAGACCGTACTGTGATTTTCTGGGATTTGTCTAGTCTCGAATATGTGCGGCAATTGCCTGAACTACCGGAGCCACCGACAGCTATTCATGCAAACGACATGACAGGCGAGGTGGTCACAGCCGCAGGGACGACTCTTTCTGTTTGGAGCATTAATGGGGATTGCTTGGCAGCTGTAAATACATCTCACGTTGCTGCTGATACTATCCTTTCCATTACTAGTCCCCATTTATCGGATTGGATGGAGGCAAGCTGGTATGTTTTCTTTTTAAAGAAAAATATGTGTTCACTTTTTATGCTTGTTTGTCACAGATGGAACCCAACACTGGATTCTTTGGTGAAATCTATATGTACTGGATTCGGCTAGATGCATTTTTTTCATGTTTTTAGGGGCAACTGAAGTTCTAGCAGTTATTTTCATGCAATGAACGAGGCAATACCTTGAGGAATATTTTCATTTATGGAGTACATTTGTGCTGGAATTCTGGTGGGAATCCTCTTCAGGTACGTGACGGGCCATCAAAATGGAGTAATCCGTCTTTGGCACATGGAGCTTGACAACCATTCAAAATTAGATCGGAGAGCGAGCCACCGAATTTCTTGTTCCTGGGGTTCAAACGAATTATCTAAGTCATGTGTCACTGGCGGCCCTCCGGAATATCAACTGGTTTTGTATAAAGTACTGAGTTGGCATAAGGAGCCAGTAACTGCTCTCTCGTTAGGGAACGACCTCAAGCAACTCTGCAGCGGCGATGCAGGTGGACATCTTGTTTCTTGGACACTGCCTGATGATGGTTTTAAGCAAACACCTTCGCTTGAAATTGAGGTAAGCGGAAATTTTGGACCTGTATGTCCTTCATATCCTTCACATCCTGCTTTGAACCATTTCTGTTGCAATTTTACGTATCGTCATGGTTCCAATCTATGTTTTTGACTTCTCGTGTGTCAAGCATTACTTGTTTTCACTTTAGTGAGAATTATGTTCTGTACTCTTTAATCCTCAACTTCCAACTCAAGTTTGTCGCCAGGCAGTGGCGCGTCACTTTTCATGTGTTGGCTGTTGGATATGATGTTCGGTGGCTTCGGAAAAGTAACATGCAAGGCTAGAAATATTGCATTATATTTTGATTCCCATCTTACTAAAGATCCGCTTGGTTTGCAGCCGGACCAGTGCACAACATGCCAGAAGGAGTTGAATCTAACAGAGATGAAGCATCACTGCCGCAATTGTGGACAAATTTCATGCGCCGACTGTTGCAATAACCACATTGTTTTGGAAGATCTTGGCTATTTTAGTCCTGTCCGAGTGTGTGGGAGTTGTTATGAGTCTCGCCAATCCTGCACAGGTAGACAACTGACTTTTTCTAGGACGTCCTCCGAGGTGATTCGTCCCTCTCTGCTTACAGAGGATTCGAAGAACGGTAGTGAACTAGCCTTTGAACTTCTGAACGCCTTGAAGTCCGCTAATGTGACAGATGTTGAAACCAACATCACTTGAAGTGGATTGTTCAAAGGGGAGACCTAGTTAGATTTTGCCCCCCTTGACCATCTCTGTATACAATTTCCAATTCCATTTCCTAACTTCCATCCTTCGGGACCAAAGTTTCCTCATTGCTGTCTGAAGTGCATGTTCCAAGGTTCGTTTGGGCACATTTTCTGGCTGTGCTCTTTAATTGGGTGCAGGATCGAAGGTGTTGACTTTGAACAACCTCCCTTGATCAGTTCGCAGGTTTCCCACCTCAGGGACATCGCCTTTTTAAGCGCATCATCTCTACTGTTGGATTTCCAAAGTTTTTGTTTTGATCACAGCTTCGTTAGACAGGATATACCTTACGAACCTGTTTCCACAATGTCTACTTAATGACCTGCTAATCGGCAGTGGTGGACATTGTGGACTATCAGAAAAGTGAAATTTTGTGACCAGACAAGGATAATTGAAAGAGGGTCCAACACCACAACAGTATCCATTTACAATTTCCTCTTATTACTGAAGCAGTTGTACATTAGAAATTTGACTCAGGGACCTCTATCTGCTGTCCAAAATATGGTACCAGATGGGAGAACACGAAGTAGTCCATCAAAGGGTTCCTGCCAATCGACACACAATGGATATCTTTTGAGGAAAGTTTCTGAGAGGTGGTACACAGAACTTGTCGAATGAGCCCATGTGCGATTTTACAGCTTAAAATGGTGTAGATCTTTACAATTGGCTGCGCCAATAAAACACCACAGAGTACTACACAATCTCGTCCATGCCAAACCTTTTGGTTTCCTTGGACTCCTCATCCATTACCTTAATCTCAGCTCAAAAAGTATGGTACTTTTCATGTTCAATCACACATTTTTTTTTTTTTTTTTTTTTTTTTTTTTTGTAATCCTTCAGTCGCCGTTTCATCACCGGAAATTCTCTTCCTCTCCGAACTCCGCTGAGTTCATTTGCAGCCTGAGCAATTGACCAACTAGGACAGATTTGCTGCTAATTGAACTTCCGGATCAGACGCTCGATGGTTACACCAAAATCCCGAGTCATTTCGCACCAATTGCCCAAAGCCTCCATAGAATATCGTCGTCTCTAAGCCTCTGGAGCAGAATCATGAGGTGAGGTTATCAGACGAGATGATTCGACCTTGAATCCAGTGACTCAATAAAGTCTCCTGTCCAGACGCTCACATTCTGTAGGATGTGTAATTCTATGGCCTCCCCGCAGAAGTGACAAATTTCCATCTCCGAAACAGAAAAATTGGAGACCAGGGGAATCAAATTAGCATTAAATGAATGGATGTGATGCAAGGATTAGTAAAATCTGACGGGCACTTGGTGCTGCCACCGGTCAACGTGGCAGGTTCGTTTCACAGACTCTTCCCACATCTCCCGAGAGCGTGATCTCTTGAGCCCGCTTCGGAAGGAGGTAGCAGCCGGCAGGTCCATCAGGGGTGACGTCGCACTCTGGAGCTGGGCAAAGGCATCATGGAAATCCATGGCAGCCTGGGGAGAGAATGGGTAGCCTCGCGCATCGGGAATTTGCTGGGAGGCAACGAATTCGTCGTAGTAAGATGGGACTGCTGCAATGCGTTGCCTGGCGCCGAGAAGCTGAGCCATTTGCACGTAGGGTGACAGCGAGGAGGATTCTTGAATGCTTGCCGCGGCGCGCTGCAGCCACAAGGCTGCCCGAAACTGAAGCTCAGGAGATAATCCACCCGATGGCGAGGATTGCATGGGCAATGAACCCGGCGACACCCGGCTGCCAGAGAAATTTGGGCTCCCATAGCTACTGCTGCTGCTGCTTGTGGGGAAGCTTTCTCCTTGGTGGTGGGAGAGTAGTCTTTCGGCGGACATGGAGACCGGGACTTGGATGTGCTTCGGCGTCATCCGTACTGGCGATCCGGGGTGCGTGGAGTCGTAGGCATGGTGGTCCTTTGAGTTTTTGGCGGACAAATTGGCTGCGTATATGTTCGCCTTCAGGGGGAAATTTAAGAGAGCCTTGCATCCGCGCATCTCGAAAGCGGCCTGGTCGTATGCACATGCTGCATCGTATGCGGTGTCGTATGTGCCGAGCCAGATACGGGCGCCATTTTGTGCGGAGTCACGGATCTCAGCAGCAAATTTGCCCCACGGACGTCTCCGGACGCCTCGGTAGTTGAGAGATCTGGGCGGCTTCTGGATGGGTGCTCTGGCCACAGTTGGCGAAGACTCCGAATTATGCACGGGCACCGAGTCGTTACTCTTCGACTTCTGATCGACGCTACTCGCTTGCTGTGCGGGACTCGATCGACCCCCTGCCATCGAACTCGGCTCAGTTCCCTGAGACGACGGCTCGATTTCTGTTGAGCAGGGGTCTACTTTCGAGTACGGCGTAGCATCACACCATCCGTCAACATTGCCCTCATGATCTCGGAAGACGCTCTGCAAAAACATGTTCACATATTCATCTTTCTCAAGAGAGGAAGACGAAACCCCGGAGAGACTCTTCTCCTGGGAGACAGTGCGTTTCAATGACATTTTAGTGGCCAAGTAGGTAGCAGGAAGTGTCAGATTGGGCAGCGGTCGTCCTGTTCGGTTGCTAATCACCGAAGACTGGTCCTGTACCTGCGACTGGCCATCGCTGAGCTCCTGCGCGTCGATAGTCTCACTGATCTCCGACCCATCACGTGCCGAAATGGGTTTAGTCTCCTCGCAGCCGAGCCTACCCCTGGGAGACGGCATCGGAGAGACCAAGCTCTTGAAGAATGCCTCCGTGCTCATGTCTCCACTCAATCCTACCATATTCGCCGGCTGCAAAAAATGCTCTTCAGCAAGGCAGTTATCATCGTCCTCCAGTAGGTAATGACGGAACTTCTCGATCATGCCCTGACTCTGCATCGTCGTCCGCGGCACGCTGCTATACGGCAACACCGCCATCTTCTCTACAAGAGTACGATTCATCGATTGCACCCTTCTCTTTTCAATAACTCCAAAAATCTCCAGTTTCAACAACTCTCAACCTTTCTAGTACCAAGACGCCATGACAAGTAGACTGTCAGACCGTTTACGTTTGTCGAGATCTCATGGAGATGCCTGTCAGACCGTGCACTCTGCCTGCATAGACTTTCTCCCCTTATTGATTGCAGAACTCCTCCGGCCTTTCCACTACGAACTGCAAGCCTTCAGAAGGTGTACAGGATGTCAACTGTCCTGCAATATAACTCCGCTCGAGTAGGAGAAGACGATGGTAAATTGATCGTGGGCGAAGGTCCATATAACATTCCCAGAGTCGCCGTCACGCTAGGCTTTGCAGGTGAAAGCCTTACGTAGGTTGCACTTTCCTACACCGTTAACTGGGGCCCATGACTACCGAAATTCAGAGTTGGAGGCAGCTTTCTCCTTCATCAACGTGGCCTTTTTTTTTTGTCCCACGACGAAGCTTTCGCTTGAAAAAACTAATCCCTCATCCGCAAACTGCAGTACTGCATCCTCAAAGGCACCGCATCGAAGCTGCTTTAGGTGATTCATCGTGCCACTAATCCCCATTCTTAACCTAATAGACCTTGCTACAGTAAGTCAATCAGCCGACCACTGGCCAATCGATCACCATCCCGAGCACATTCTCCACCAGCAGATCCCTCCCCCTCACAGTAGCCACCTTTCAACGCTCTTATCCCCTGTCATCCGCCTCATCAGTGGGAGTAAACGCGAGATCCACCACTCCTCGAAGGATTTGAAAGACTGTTCTTCACTATTCTACCGCATCCAGGTTTGAGTGCGCTAAATAAATTCTTGCTCCAAACCCACATAACCTTTCTTTAAAATTAAATAGGGTGCAAGTCAACATGTGCTCAGCACCAGTCTTTAACGCTTGTCAACACTTTGCACTTTGCACTGTTTGGATTCCTTCTACAAACGGAGAGGATCTCCGTTCCGAAGCAGTTAAATTTACCTGGATCAGCGAAATGGGCGATTTACTTCGAGTAGCAGTTACGGTGTTTAGGTGTTCCAGCGAGGTGTTGACAAGAATCGGATATAGAGTTGACTCCCGTGGACCATTTGGAGACTTTTGTCTACGCCTTTGCTCCAGCTTGGGACCAGGTGCAGACTTAACTCTCACTCCACAGCCTCTGGTGAGCTTTACAGCTTTGTTTTCGCAATGCTTTGCTGTGATTGCATCGCAACGTAAAAGCAACACGGGGCCAGGCCCGTATGGAATGCATGGTAGCTTACGCGAATCGTGTACTTCTCTCATGACCGCCGGGTGCCAAAACGGAAGGTGTGGGTTTTTTCATTTCCCTGGTCCTGTCTTACCTCGGCCTCGTGGGCCGACTATGAGGTGGACACCCGGCGACGACGACGAATCGAAGACCGAATATGATTAGCTTGCCCTTGTCGCAAAGTTTCCAGTGTTTTAAGTGAGGCGGAGATCACGAGGCAGCTGCACGTGACAACGCGGGAGTAGCCCCGTCCCCTCATCATAAAGTTTTGGGGTCAGCTTGGAATCTCCGCGATGAGAGCTTGAGCTTGTGAATTTTCTCGGAGTCGCTCTCGTGGGAAGTCAGACTCGATGTGTGTATGTCGAAGATCCCACTCTCGAAGTGCCTTGCGGTACGTGATCCTTTCACTGCAAGCTATTGTATTAAACTAAAACTGCATCTTTCCTCAACACAACACAACTTAAACGTATAGGTTTCTATTGCTGCTCAATAAAGTCAGCCACTGTGACTGTTGTCTTCTTCTCAACCCTTTTTTAGGCAATTTTCTTTGCTTGAGTTGACCACCACACATTGCACTAGTTTTCATACCGTCTCTTGAAGAATCTACAAGCTTTACAACTGTGATCATTGTGCAGTAGATTTTTTTTATATAATAATCTTAATTATGTTGTGTCACCATTATTAAAACAAGTGAGTAAGTCTAGTGTCGTGAGTGTGCTTAACTGTTTTACACTCAAATTGCATGAAACATCATCCATGAAATGCTCAAAGAACATAATGTTTTCTTTTTGTCTTTTTCCAATCTTGCATTCTAAATTCAAGATCATTCCACACATCCACACATGAGGGTATTGTTTAAGGTGGAGATAGATACACACTTACTTTAAGTCAACATGGGGAAAGCTTGGAACATGGTCATGAACACAAGAAATGTGCATTCATGATGTTCAAACCTATGTGAACAAGTTATGGAAAATTGAAAAAAAAAAACAAAAAACAAAACAAAACAAAACATTCCTTTTTACAGAGGTTTTAACTTAATTTTTATAATTCAAGGTTATAATATTCATTTATTCCTGTATACATGTGGTTTGAAGAGTGCACAACAATACAATGTGACTTAGATTGGTACTACTGTTAGAGCATGCACTGGAGAAGTCAAGCTTATATCAGCATGAACAGGTCACTGCTGTTCAGACAGATTCCTGCATTGTTGTTGCATGCATCACCTTCCCAACACAATATATTTTAGGGTTACTGTAACAGACTGTTCTACCCAAGCATATATATACAATAGGGGCCAGCCACCATCAGTCACACCTTTGGCATGTGCTGATGAGGCAATCTATAAACAGCTTTAGGTGACATTGAATTATTACTAATATTCTTCTCATTTTTTGATCATTGCCAAGCTGTCTTGGGCCGTTTGAGAATAATAACTTTCCCATGCTTTTGGCTGGGCTTGTTGCCCTTGGGAAGGCCAACTTTGCATTAAACAAATGAAAGGCTGTGATAAGAAGAAGGCCATTTTTGTATATTAAACTACTGTATCCCACGTTTAATTTGTTGTAAGGACCGGTCTTTGATGATTATATTCCTTTGCAATGGGTGGAGAGCAAGAAGGGTTCATGAACCAATTCATTTAGCAATGATCCAACATGAATTGGTTTTTGAAATATTAGCTTCACTAATTTTGGCACAATAATTCTTTGGGAATTTTAGCAAACTTTACATAAGTACTATAGAGAACTGGTTGTGGTGTGCATATATATATATATATATATATATATATATCATAATTACATACATACATACACATAAAAGTGGTTTTCATGAAATTTTCATTTCCATTATCACTTGAATAAAAAACGATTCTAGTTCAAAGCTAAATTTAAGAATCATGATCAAAATTCTCACTATGTTTTTTAAATTTCAAAATCTTGCTTGAAATATTGTTTTTTGGATAAAAACATCTTCAATTGATATAAGTATTTTTTTTAAATATATAATAATTTTACATTATTAATATGATAAAAAAATATAATTTAAATGTATATTTTATCATAAAAATGACTTAAATATTATATTAAAAAGAATGTTTAAATTTTTAATATTTTTTTAAGATTACATATTTAATATTAATGATGATAGTCTAAAATATTATATATAAAAATTATAGATAATTTAAAGTTTTTATATAATTCAAATCTTCTAAATTTTTAATCTATAAATATTTTAATGCTTAAAATATTAATGGAAGAGTTGTCATTTATTTGCTATCTTAATTTTGATCTAAAAAAAATCAAGAAGTTCAACAAAAATTGGTGCATTTTTTATTACTTTATAAAAAAGAGTTATATCTTATCAAGGACATAAATTCTAAAGAAAGAAAGTCTTAATATACTCTTGTGTTACTTGAAAAGACTTAAAAATCACTCAAAGGTGGTAATATATTGAATTAGAATAATTATTTCTAAAGACAAGAAGAATAGAAAGTTTTGAAATAAGACTAAAAACTAGAATGGTTTTAATAAGAGTGAAGAGGGCTTCATTCTTACTTCCATATATATTATCTAACTAGGTGATATGTGGCAATGTTCTATAGAACTTCTAAAACATATTGACTTTATTAGATATATGATTTATCTTACAAAATAAGTTTTTTTATATGTATGCTATATAGTTAGCTTGTTCCACAAGCTATGAGCACATGTGACACATGGCTAACTTGTTGACCAAGTTTGTAACCTACTAATTAATTACAAACACATGTAAAGTCAAAGAAGTATTTATGAAGCTTTTAAGAAGCTTTTCTAGAAAATACTATGAAATTAAATTATTTTTATCTACTTCTATTTTATCATATAGATAATTATTGGAATAAATATATATATTTGTGATGTAAACTCTTTTTCTAAGAACAAGTTTCACAAGGAGTGGTCATTATATATTGAAAATATCTAAGATATGGCAAATTGTATTTGTTATATACTATGATTTTTATTCTCTTCAAAGATGGTTGATAGGTCATCTTAGCCATCAAAATATTTCATACTAAGGTAAAAAAACCACCTTATTATTTAATCATTATTGAGGCTTTTATATCTTCTTTCAAATTAAACATTTGAAACATCATCAAGAGTTGTTTCTACTTCTAATAAAATCACTATACATTAGAAATCTCTTCCAAGGTCATGATACCAAACACATTATATCTTGCCATCTATTCAAAGAAGAATATGTTTTTCTTGAAGATCTTTATCTCGATTATATTGTCTTAAAGATTGTGATAATTGTAATATCTCATTTGATAAGTCAACAAATGATAGCTCTTGAGTTGAATTTAGAAGTTGTTAATTTTTCATCTCCTTAGTACGACAAATACACATAAGCTATAAATAAGAGTAGAAAGTAAAATATTATCTCTTCTAGATCTTGTTTCTTTTATAGGAAAGATTTGCTATCCTTTATCTTGATTTTGATGGATGTTCTCAATAAAAAGTCTCAATCCTCTTTGATGTATTTGCAAGATTCTTTATTAGCTGCCATGTGCGTTTACTAATATCATATCTATACTAATGAACAAGATATTCTAATCTATTTTGGCTCCACCTTGAATCTAAGACTTTTTTTACTTCAAATTTTTGATTATTATCCACTCCTATAAGAAGAAGTGGCATTTGTTTCTTTTCAAAATATCTACTATTTTATATGGCTCAAGAAAAGATACATAGAATATGGGATGGATCTTTATAAACTCTAATAGATATAATCAATAAGCAAAAAAATTGATTTATTTATAATTAGGAAGAAGTCTAAGCCTATAATAGTCTAAGCCTATAATAGTCTAACTTGTCACAAAGACAAGTAGTCTTGATATTACAACAAAATAATTATATCTTATCACTCATACTAAATTGTGATTTTATTTTTTGCAATAAGCATCTTTATTAATCTTTTGTTGTCCTTGAGCTACCTTTGATTACACCTTCATTATTGTATGTAGCTTTGATAAATAATTTGTCAAATTTTTTGCCATAAGATTATCAACTTTTAAAAAATTAAAAATATCAAATTATAGATAATCATAATTACTAAAAAAAATAATTTTTGAGAATATATCAAATTATTATATGTAAACTTTGTTAATGATAAAATAACTTTCAAGTTATTGTGATGATAGTTGATTGTACACTTCAAATACTATTTCAAAATTTAATTCATCTATTCTATTTATCTATTAGTTTGAAGATAAAAGGCCAAATAGAGCTTTATATCTATATTTAATATCTTAAAA